GTTATGGTCAATAGTGTTGTCCTAATGGGTTACAAGTTATGTGCCAATGTGCTTGCAGCCGGTTTGGGTCTTCGGGCCCCTACCACTCATCCTACTACTATAGAATCATTCTCCTCATCCTCATTCTCAGCCTTTTTTTGCTTGGGCGTTGTCGGCCTGTGGAGTCCTTCTCTGTTGTTTTGTTAAAAAACTGGAAACTTTGAGTTTTTGATTGACCGCGCTGACAGGAAATCAATATTTCTGACAAAAATGTTCAGAAACACCGCCCGCACACAGCGAAAACCATTGTTTTTTGACAATTACGGCACACACAAAACGCAAAGTTTTGAACAACCCAAACGCACAAAAAATTATCTTTTCTAGGAAATAAGCCTAATGGCCATTTTCAATCGCACGACAGACACAGGCCCAAACGATATACCTAAAGCCTTTTCCTATCCTTTCTTCATCCTCAAACTCCTGGTCTCCAGCCACAAGCGATCAAGATGTTGCATTTCTTCCCAGGCTCAGGTATTTGGTTCTCTTTCTCACACCAGGCCGGGCTGGCATTTGTTTGGCCTGAGTTCAACTACCTGCGAATGTGATGGAATCCGATTCAAGAAGTCCAGACAACTTCACCCATCCCACTTCATTCTTCCTGGAAGACATCTCACCCGCCAGCGGACTTTTGCGGACATGGCAGGACTAGTGGTGAGCAAGTGGTGAAGATAGAGACGCTGCAGGAGCCAACTCAAACTTGGAATCGCGCCACGGAAGACATTTACCATACGATAAGGGTACTGTCCAGTTCAGGGTATCACGCATCACGTGCAGTTTGGTCACGTTGGGTCAACTATCACAACTGTCAACACCAAAATTGCAACACAGAGAGATTGGGGCTGTCTTTGGGCCGTCCCGTGCGGTCCCGTGCCTTTGAATCGGTCGTTTCGGCGTTCCGTTTGGACTCGGACCAGATTGGCTCGAGACAGCCGGAGACAGCGTGCTGCGTCGTGGTCAGGAGCAGAAGGCTGCACCGAGCATCTCCAAGGCTGAGGAGCTGAAACCAAGGGTAAATCCCCTGTGTAATGCCTGGGGTTGGCACCATGTGGGGAACACCATGTTGCTAAGGGTCTAAGAGAATGGCAATCGGACAGCCAAGAATAGACGTTGCATGATACACCAAATAGGGAACTGGGTATCAGGTTGAGAGTATTCAAACATCCCGACAGTCCTTCAGGATGTTGAACCAGTACTAGTTGGTGATTTCACGCAGTGATTGTTCCACCACTACTTGGATGACGAAAAGGACGCTATTCGCTGGAGGCCGCTACGAACGGAACAAGAAGCTACTATAGTAGCAGTCACCTCATTGTGGAGCAAGAGGACGCTACTAGGGGCTCCTGGCATCGCTACTAGGAGCAAGGACGCTACTAGGGGCTCCTGGCCTTACTATTAGGAGCAAGTGTTCTTTTTTAGTGACTTTGGTTGTGTGTTTTTCACGCGCACAGGAGCCCGAAGACTATGGGCCCACAGGCGCCGTGTCGGGGCTCCCGGCCACCCGACACTGGGCTGCCGTTCCACCGGCCCCGGTGGAGTAGGGCAGCTCGAAGTGTGGGAACCCGCGGAACACAAGGGAAAAAGTGTGACAACATCAATTGGACCAGACTCTTGATAAATAAGGTACCCATTTGGAATGTGAAACCACTTCATAGGAATGTTCGATATTCATGCAAGAGTCTACGTTCTAGTTGGAGGGGAATGCCACATAGTCCTGAGGCTGAAACTCTAAGCCCCATCTCAAATGCAACTCGTTGAAAAGAACTGTGGCGACTGTTTCGCCAGACTGTTTGCGCCACCAGCTGTTCTTCCCGACCGAGGTTCGTGGATGATGAGGACCGGGTACGACGCGTGGAGTCCGGTCCGGGAGGTTCGGACCGTTCTCACAGCGAGCGAAAACCGCTGGGCCATATACTCCCCAAACTGGTCCTAACATAGAACATGCGAATTGACCTGTGGAAGACCGGTGGTTTTTGGGGTTCCATGTGAATCTGCAGGGCAGTATCCCCTACCATCATACACCGTAATTACACAAAGACATAAGTAGATATCCGACCTCAAACATGGAAATACAGTGTAGCAACTTCAAGCGTTTGACGTTTGCTCATTGCACCTTTTTCTTCTCCTTGCTTTTGAACTTGGAGCAATCCTGGACTCCTGGACTGGGTCCGAATGTGTCGGCGCCAGTTGACTGGCATAGTTGCATTCAAGGGCTGCTCGATGAATGCTCCACGGAAACAGTTGCAAATGTGTTTAGAATGCGCGTCGGTTTGGTACTGGTTGCTTGGTATTTCTTGTATTTAAGTGTTATCACCTGGAATAGTTCAATACTAATGTGCTCGATCATGGCAAAATGGTGAGAAAGCTCCGCAAATGGTGACTGGGTTTTGGCGGAGAGAGAAAGGCACTTCGGTTCTTTTGAGATGCGATGCTGATCTGAATCAAAATAACTCTTGCCGGCATTGTGGAAGGCTTGCACACCTCGGAAGGAGGGCTTGCTGGGAGATGATGTGCCGAAGAGTCCCTCGGGAGTTCCCCCTGCAGGCGGTTTCCGCGTGGAGCGGTCAGGTGTCGTTCCAGGGAAAATGCAAACCAACTGCGTCAATTGCCCCAGTTGATTGACGTGTTGAACTCTTCGTCGCATGGGTTGGTCGATGAGATGGGGACTTCAAACAGTCTAAATTAAAGATATTAATTATTACTTAGGCGGCTCTAGCCGGATGTGGATGAACCGACTGTTTGTAACCCTGGGGTGATATGCATGATTGATTGGTCAAGATCTTGAGTGTGTTCGTAGACACAGGACACAGCGTGAAGACTGACCTGCCAAGGGGTCAGGTTTGGGTTTAATGAAACTGCTTGGGACAGGTACGATTCTGAGTTGTTTCGGCAGTCGCTCATCACCACCGGGGGCATCAAAGAATCTGAAACAATCTGAAACATAATTAAATCATCTGAAATCCGCGGAAACTCAGAAAAGCCACTAAAGTCAGTTGAGGTTTCAGCAGCTGAAACTTGCACACTTATTCATCCACGGTCACAAAGGTTCACGATTCACTCGACGAGTTCAAGCCGCGGCAACTTAAGTCAAGGTGCTACGCGAGACTTCGAGTCCGATGATGAGGATGAGGCAACCAGTAGAAGGGAGAGAAAGCTGAAACATTGCGTATTTAGATTGGTAGTATATATTAATATATATATATATATATTGTAAGTTATTGTAATAGATTTATACAAATGCCAAATGTATAATAGTAATAATTGTCAATATTATTCCTCATGGACGTGCTGATTGTAACAGCTTTGTATTGCAATGTGGATTCAGTACCTGAAACCGTAGAATGGCAGATGTGCAGCGATTCCATGCAACGACGAAGTCCGATTTGGGTTCAGAGTCGAGGCAATGGCTCCGCAAGAGCAGGTGCATCGCGGCGTTGTTTGTGATTTGTTTTGTTTGGTGCAAAGCCTAAAGCAGAATAGAATCGAAGCAGGGAGAAATCTAGAGAGGGTGAAGGCTTTGCTTCGATCGGGTAACAGAGTACAGGGTGTGCAGAGGCATCCCACGTCTATAGGTGTGCGAGGTGAGTTAGTTAAGTTGGGGCTCAACAAAATTGACAACAAGACTAAAGCGATACCCAAACCATGCCACAAAATACATCCAAGGCGCTTTGAGTCAATTGTGAACCACTTGTGTCGTCGTACAGAAGCAGATGGAGAAGGCCCAAGGACCTTTAAGGACCCCAAACTTCAAAGAAAGAAGGCAGAATGGATCAGAATGGCAGAAAGCACATGGATGGCAACCCAACACCCCAACGGGCCCCAACACCATATCGATGTTTGACGATCAGTTGAGCAACAAACAACGACGGCGGTCGCCCATCGGAACAGTGTGTTGAGACGGATCTGACCGGTCCATGTCTCTGCGAAGTTGACGACAACGTTTTGACCGGTCCATGACGCATCAATAGTCCCATGAGTGTTGAGAGTGTTCATGAGTTGGATGTCCATGAGTTTTCATGACCACGCAATGACACCTCTTTTGAGGGAATTGAGCCGAGGTGTATACGGTATGTCCATTCTGTTGATGGGCAATGTTGGACACTCTTGGCCTTTCATGCATCGCCTCCAGTGCCAGTTGCTCCACTCCAGCAAAGATCGCCAGAGTCTTCAATGGATCTTCAACATTTCACATGCAGGGAGCGGCCACTGGCACGGCTGGTGACCTTCACGGGACATTCCAGAAGGTCTGGGCATCCCTTTTGCTGGGCGACCTGGGCGTTCCACCCCAAGGCTTTGTGGCTCACAATGTTCCTCTGGATTGAGCGACCGAACCTGCGTCGAGAGCCAGGCTCCTCCGCCAGTGGAGGCTCCTGTAGAGCTCCCACCACCTCAGCCGCTGAAGGGCGTTGAGCGAGAGGACGAGTCACCATTTGACGTTTGTTTTCAGCGGTCATTATTTGAGCTTACTTGTAGTTTCTGAACTTCTTCAGGGTATGAGAGCACTTACAAAGCCCTTCGCTGTTGCTGTGTGCACTCAAGATTCTGGAATACCTGGATACCAGCCCATGTGTAAAATCACGGATCAACCCCAAACGAGTCATCACCATACAGGGTTGAAACCTCTGACACATTGTCACAGGGTCAAAGCCCTGACCGAAGTTGTAAAATGTTGTAAAGGGAACTAGTTAATGGGTCGGAATCAGTACCAACAAGAAAAGACCATTAGCAAGTCAACTTTTCCAACTTCCACTGATGACTTTCAATATCAAGGACCTTGCCAACCTGGAAAAGGCACAGTTGAGGGGGTCAGAACAGGATGAATGATGATCAACCCTGAAACAAGAGGTCGCAGTTGATGCTTCTGATGCATCATAATTCTGAAACGAAACACCATGTTGAAGCAATTTAAAACGAATATACAAAAACTATATGCCTTTCCGCAGCGTCACGCCTTTGGCGCTCCCATGACTCTGGCGCTTCGCCCGCGTTGGCGGCCGCGCCTCCCTTTCCGGCCGCTGGCAGCCTCCGCGCTGCGTTTGGGCATCCGGGGCGAAGCCGCGGGCGAAGCAGCCCGTGCACGGGAGCGGGAGGCCGGGAAACGTGGCGCCAAACGTTGAACATACGGATGATTTGCAGGGCGTTCTTTTTTCATTTGTTTCATCATGTTTCATCCAAATCAAACGCAGTTTCTTTGTGAACGCCTGGGTGTTTTCTCTTTCCGGAGTTGGCTTGAGAAGGACAGGTGGAAAAGATTCCCTCCAGACTCCAGCCTACGATATAACAACATTCGCAGGTCTGTTTCGAAAGTTGCCACTTCTGCATTCGGCACATCTCAATGCCAGGAGGGACGCATGCAGAGACAGATTCTATGATATCCCATGGTCCCAAGTTCTTCACACGGACGAGATCACATCGGATGTAAAGATGCCACAGACTCAGTGATGCATCTCAAGTACGGCACATGCCTCTACCCCGCTATGCCCAAATGCGTACGGTAAACCGGGACGTTCACCGGTCTTCACTGCGGTTTGAGGCGGATAGTCGAACATCACATCCGGAGACTGACAGCCCCGTCTCGGGCTTCGCCCCGCACGACGGTCGACTCGCAGAACAGATGGCCAGGTGAACCTGGCATGCCAAGCCTTGTCTGAGAGCTTGCGGTGTGGCGACCGCGCCTGGTTCGAGCGGGTGATTCAGCAGCTGCGACAGGTGCTTCTGGAGCAGCAGAATGAGACTGCTCTATCAGAGGCCACCACTGATGGGGTTTGGTGAGATCTTTTTGGATCAAACCTGGGTTGAACGAACTATAGTGGATGGCACTATGGCACCTGATCTAGCGTATCGAATGGTGAAAACATGAAAGCAATAAACCATTGAAACATAACATAACATAACACTCACATAGGATGCTGAAGTTGTGGAGCGAGGCAGGGGGTTGAGGGCGTGAAATTGTGAAATGTGCGACCATGTGTGACCAATGTCGAATGGGCAATGGTCGATGAAACGGTTTGGGTCCAGTGGTTGCCCTCTCCCAGCAGGATGTGACCCCGAGCTTGTAAGCTAGCTGCTCCTGAAATGGTCTTGGTAAAATCTCCAATCCATCTTCCTTTACAGGAGATTCTAGATTCCTCTAGTACTGCACCAATTTCTGGGTGGTCCATTATGGCACAGGTGATTCCGCAACAACTCTTGCCCTTAGAATATTCTACAATGGTGCTTCTTCACTTCCAGCCCCCTTGGAGAAGTTGGAGAAGTCATCCAGGCAGCTTCAGCTTGCGAACCCGAAATCTATTGAAATCCACCAGTCCTCACAAGCCAATTGGGCATGAAAATGGTAAGTTTCAGAACGCAAAAAGACAATGACAACGACATTGATCAATTTGACCCTTCAACAACATTGTTTGAGGATGTTTGAGGCCTTTCGTTTGCGAATCCACCCCGGACCTAGCCGATACCCGATTCAAGCATCGAACCGAAAGAAGATAAGGACCGACTTCATGATTCACCCACCCAGCCCGTGGCCAAAGAACATGTCAGAATTCCTCCATGGTCCATCTGAGTCAGAACATTGGATGATCTGATTTCGTCGCCCAATCAAATCAAACAATGCCCACGGAACCCTCACCAAAGGACCATTCCTGATGCTTCACGCTCGCGGACGCAGGTGGTCGCGTCCGCGAGCAGCACCGTTGCGCCGCGTCCGCCACCGGCTGCACCGGTCGTCAGCTTTCCGCTGCCGTCGACCGCGTCCACGTCTCGTGGGACGGACAGGAGAGGCACAGAGAGGCGCGGCGGTCGTCCATCACCAACCGAACGGTGCATCTTAATGAGGCGAAGCGAACCGAAAGGAGATCACCGAAGGATTTGTCCCCACCTGTCAGGTGAGGGTTGGTAGGTTTTATATGATTTTATGTCAGCTGCCATCGTCCTCCTCCTCGTCCTCCTTCTCCGCCTCCGCCTCCGCCTCCTCCTGCGGACCTCAACTGCAAGTGCAGGATGGCAGTGTTCCTCACCAGACCAGGTCCGGCTGGCAGTGCTCCGGCTGGCAGCGTTCCCCGCCAGACCTCAACCGCGAGCTTCGGCTCGCAGCATTCCCCGCCGGACCTCAACCGCGAGCTCCGGCTGGCAGCGTTCCCCGCCAGACCTCAACCGCGAGCCTCGGCTCGCAGCATTCCCCGCCGGACCTCAACTGCGAGGCAGAAGATATGCCAGACGGAACGCCAGAAAGAATGTCAGAAGACTTGCAGAAGATAGGCAAGATTGAATGTCGGAGTTGAAGGAATTTTACAGGTTCTGAAGTGCCACGGTGGGGGTCACTCGAAGTAAAGCAGTCTTTACATGTCTTTACCCTTTTTGATGAGCCGAACAAAGTGGAGTTGTAGACTCTCGACATTCTTGAAAGTACACCCGGATTTGACTTGCTGCGGCCTAAGAGACTCCCTGTTTAAGTCTTGGCCACCCTTCCCAACTGATGCGGGGCTCTTCATGCAAGTCTACACAAACTAGTGCTTGAGTCTAAGACCCTGAAAACGTTGAGGAATGTCTGTCCAAGACATACAAATTTATATTAATATATATTGAACACTCTACGTTAAATCTATACTTCATATTATATATATATGTATGTTACACTTACACACACATATATATATATATATACGTATTATTCATAATATGTCCATGTATATAGATATATATTTACAGGAAACTGCTTTACAAAATAAGAAAAGCCACAGCACCTACCTGGTTACCAACTCTTGTGCTCTGCAGGATGAGTGAAGAACTCGAAGAGCCTGCCTGGCTTCAAGCCCTGCGACTCTTGGAAGCAGCTGCCACACCGAGAAAGCCATCGACGCCGTCAGCGAGCAGATCGGCGGTGGGATATTTCCCGGCACCAGAGCCATTGGAAGAGTTTTCCCAGCAACTTGAGCCGGAAGAACAGCTGAAAACATATTTGGACCAGTTCAAAGAAGAAGAACCTGCTTGGGCCAAAGCTATCCGGATTTTGGAGAAAGTCCCTGTGGGCCGTGAAATCAGGGTCACGCAAACGGCTTCGGCAGCATCTGGGAACCCAAGTGGAGCGGCAACACCACAAGGGATGCTGCGCACACCTGCTGGCCAACCTGGGCACGATCGGGGAAGGGAGGTTCGGATGAAATCCTACCAGGCGATGTTGCACGAGCACGCCTTGCGGCATGCGCAAACCGAGAGGTTGGATGTGCGGTTGCAGCCCAGCGAGGAGAAGTCGGAGCTCAAGCAGGGGAAACTATCCGGCCAAAGTCAGAGCTCACAGGCGGGAAGAAGTTGAATTGAATGAAACCTGCTGTGCAGAAATCTGGTCGTTTAGACTAACAGAATCTTACAGAGTTTGGGGAGTTTTGATCAACATAGAAACTGATCGTTTCACAGTTTCACTCCCGAGTCAAAAGCATTGCTAATTGCTCCATATATGTGTTTATTGAGTAATGAGTCAGGAGTTTGTGTTCATAATACGGGAGTTAGCCATCCAGTGCTCAAATGACTGACGTTTGTTGAACACCTTTGGCCTACAATATAGCTCCCCCTGACCTAACATGCACCCATGTTTCACCAGCCAGTGCTGCTAAGAATTGCCAGCAATTCCGTGCCGCTGGACAGGTCTCGCATTCCGACAGATGGGCAGATGCTCCGGTTCAGGACGACAAGAATTCCACCATACACAGCATCCAGACGGAAGGACAAGGCTCTACTACCGAAGAGCTGGCCAGAATCCGTGAGCAGTTCGGGCTCAACAAGCCCAAAAAACAAAGCTTCACTCCGAAGGAAGATGAGGCCCGGCTGCGCGTGAGACAAAGTTTTTTTATTGCACTGTTTTTCCAACTGGGACAAACGCATGTACTGTGCTGGGGAGCAGTTATGGGTGCTTCTGGCGTTCAGGGTAAAAGGTCCTGAATCAAACGCTCTACCTCCTAAAGTGCGAAACAACCCTGCGGTTCATTCCCAACCACTGGAGTGATTTTTCCCCAAACAGTTTACTGTTAGGGGTTCTCAATTCTTTCTTAAGATGTGTCCGCCCTTTGTGTCACTGCTGGTGTCCGCCCTTTTCCGTTGGCCATGTAGCATTTCTATTCACACTGCCAGGTACCCAAATCACCAGAGCCGCTGCCCAAACCACCCTCTCCACCGACCGCGCCCTCGACCGCGAGCGATGTGGGCATCGGCCGGGGGCACCTGGTGGCCTCCCTGCCGAGCGACGGCGAGCTGGAGTCGGAGGCGGAGCTCCGAAAGGAGGACCTGGGCAGCCGAAGGGGAGAAGATGAGAGTCTCGAGGACATTGGAAAAACATGAGTTTTGAGGCTTCGGCCGATCTCCACCGAGCATCTCCTCGTTCGTTCGGTTGTCCGACGGTCGGACAGCAGATTGCCTCAGGACCTTGTGTGGTCGGAGCACGAATTCAACGACGGGGACAAGGAGAACCGTCGGGTCTTGAAGAAGTTCACGAAGGAGTCACTCAGTTCTATAAGCCACTGACCGTCTACACTTCCTGGGGAAAAATGGGAAAACCACCCGTTTGGTATTTGGAGTATTTGGGATTTCATGATCCTCCTTTCACAGCCAATGCCTTTTCCAATTCCATGGAATCTACTATATACGTAGGCCTGTTCTTGGTTTTGGGTTTTGTTACCCTCAGCCATTGTTTGAGTTTGGCCTGTGAGGTTTAAGAAGATGGCGGAAGAAACGCCTGAGGGCATCAGGAAACTTGGTTGCACCCTTGAGTGAGCATTCACATGGCCCTAGGGCTAGCCTTCTATAGTGCCTTCTATAGATGCTAGTTGCAAGCTGGGTTCCATGATGTTCGATGTTAGTTTGCCACAGAGGAGCCCGGCCTTTGTTACAAGAAGAATCCCTGCATCATTTGGGTGAAAGGTGGTAGAAGTGTACTGAAACTATGGCAAATTGTGGGAGAAAAGACAAATTCGGCTGGTGCAGGAGTTGGTACAATCGTATGTTTGAAAGATTGGCTACTGGCAACAACATGGGGTATCCCACTCATACTTACACGATTCATAAGCCTCCCAAGAAGCACAGAGCTCAGAGAAGAAAGCTTCCAGGTAATTTGATCCAGAACCTTCTGAGTATCATGAAAGCATAGTCTTCCTGTCCTTTCCCTTCCAAAAAATGGCAGACACAAAAGAGAGGATGTCTTTCAAGCTGTGGGGCCCGGCCCGTGGCCCGAGAAGAAGGTCATCGAGTCATCGAGTCATCGGTCGCTTTGGCAGACGAGTTCGTCAAGAAAGGTAGAAGGAAATTCCATCCGACTTTCAGGCTCTATCAAAAAAAAACACCTCGAGCCTCGAACCAACCAAGAAACGTCAAGCCGTTCAGAACCGATCGTGCAATCGGAAGTGAGATCCGAGTCGCCTTGAGGAATCCGAAGCTTCTGACTGCAGCTTTGGACTTAGCCTTGGCATGTGTGAAGTGCTACGAACTCGACAAGGCCGACGCCATCTACCGTCGAGTGCTGGGCGAATGCCGCCGGCGTGGCATGCCGTGGGATGTGATGCTTGATTTCAAGCATGGACCAGGGGCTGAAACGGCGGTCTAGACCGGTTTGGGTGAAAAATGTGAAAAGAATCCACACATCTTCTGAACGAATAGGAAATTGGGCGGCCTCACAACGAACAGTCCCTCCAGTGGGTTTCCTTACTCTGCCATTACCAATATATTCTTCTTCACTTCTGCCAAATTAGGCTGAAGTTTTCACCACTAGTAGTCACTAGCCTCTTTGCTTGGATGCTCCAAAACCATCCAACCCCCCTTTTTTGCCACCAGCGCTGGACTGGGCCGGACTGGGCCGAGGAAGTGCTTGCAGGACTTGGCCACGCTCCGCTGCAAGCAGCACCGCCAGGCCGATGCCGCAGAGCTGCTGGAGGAGTTGGCCCAGAAGGCGGCGCGCGAAAGACGCCGGAAGAGCGGGAAAATTGAACAAGGACATACAAGGACCAAGGACAGTAGAGGATAGTGTATATAGGTGTGCAGGATGAGGATCAATGAACTTGTACATATATAATATATATATATAACAATATATGTTTTTGTTGTGCGATGTTTTGCCTTTGGTAGAATTACTTTAGGTATAGGAGGTGGAATCATGGGCATTGAGGACCTATTTGCAGGCTGGCACTTGAGTTGTTCAAACCTAAAGGTTTCACTTGGTGACTCGTTTTTCGTCGGGTGCTGGTGACGGGAGGGGTTCTACAAAACGTGGTGTTTGCCTGACTCGGTCAACATGAGAGCAAACGAACCATCTACCACTTCAAAGAGACCCACAAGCTGAACGACGCCTCCAACCTAATAGCGATGGCCTCCACCTAATAGCGTCCTAGCTACTATAGTAGCTTCTTGTTACTAGTAGCGATGCCAGGAGCTACTAGTAGCGTCGTTGCTCCTAGTAGCGATGCTCTTTGTTCCTAGTAGCTTCTTGTTGCTGCCACTTCAAAGAGACCTGGAAGCTGAACGACGCCGCCTAATAGCGTCCTAGCTACTAGTAGCTTCTTGTTACTAGTAGCGATGCCACGAGCTACTAGTAGCGTCCTTGCTCCTAGTAGCGATGCCCTTTGTTCCTAGTAGCTTCTTGTTATTACCACTTCAAAGTGAACGACGCTTGGTATTCTTCATGTTCGGATTGCTTTGATGGCTGCGCCAAAGAATCAATGCCACTTTTGGATGGCAAAAGCAAATCTCGAAGACCAGCTCCCGAAGAAATCCCTGGGTAGAGTTCCTGCAATTTCCTGGCGGGAGTACTTGTAATGACCAACCAAAACCTCCAGGAAAGCCAGCTCCACATGGTCAGGGATAGCTGCGCTGGACGAAGTGAAGCCATGGGTGCTAAGCCCAAATCTGACCACGGCGCAAGCGGCCAAGTCAAGCCACAGTCAAGGCCAAATCAACCACCTCATTTAAGGTCCAATGCTGGGATGGCAAACTTTGTCATTCATGTGATGAAGCAATATCAAATAGATTGTCGATCTCTTTGCACCCTTACATTAGTTAAACCATGTTAACCGAATGAGTCTATCCGAATATGTCTAAGCTGGCATAAGGATGTTACGAGGGATCTTCCTCATGCCCTTTGGCCCTGTTTCCTGACATTGATCACTACCGCTTCGCAGCTTTGTCAAGCATCAAGTGAATCCTAAGCCCAAACATCCCTGTGAAATCATGAATACCTTTGGCCCTTGGCTAAAATGACCTAGCAAAGCCACGGTGTTTACCATGCTTTTCCACCTGACATTCATCTCAAACACGTCCCAGTGCCCCACGCGTCGCAGTCTGACAGGCGCCGCCCCACCCGGCGACCTTTATCAATCTCGGCACGGCCGCTCGGAGCGCCGTCCGGTCCGGCGGGGTGCGCGTCGTCCGTCCGGCCACGGTAGTCCATGGGGTCGTCCATTGGTTGGAAAGGATCGGTCCGTGAATGGAGAAGTCGAGCCCTATACCGTGCCAATCTCTGAAAAAATGCCATGACTTCAGGTCCCATTTGCACCAGATTTGGGCGCCGGAGTTGGGATGGGCCCGTGGCATTTCAGACCCCCCAACCATACAAAACGACCAGGGCCACGCACACAATATGATGTCCGCCGCCGTTTTGCTTGGAATCATGCTGGGTTTCACCTTGACCAGTCTCCCCCAGTGTTTCATACAGTTTGTTTGATTTTTTGCTGACCCTGTCCCCCTCATGTTCCTGCAAAAAAACACCAATGACCAATGGCCATGTGCATATAGATTATAGACCGGTGTTTGCTCACCCGTAGGCATACAATTCGTGAAACTTGATGTCCCCTGCTACGGATTCACATCCTGGAACCCGCTGGTGGAACCGGTGAGGAGAAACAAGGCGAAAATGTGTGACACAATGTGTGTTTTCAATGTTGAAACATCATGAATGTATCCTTATCTTAAATTCCCCTGCTCAAAGAACTCGTAGACACCTGTCCGACCTGTCCCCCTTTGCTCCAAGCATCACGAAACAAAACATTCCACCCCCAATCCCTTTGTAGAGTTTGACCACGTGATTACAGGAGTCTTGCTGCAATGTACACGATTGAACCCTTGATGTGTGCAGACCTGAACCCATCACAATGGAAACGTGCTATCCATATGTGCGGTTTCTGCAATACACAAATGAACCACAGCTTGCTGTTGCACTTTTTTCCCACAAGTCATAGCATACGTATACTTGGGACACATGATTGACAAGATCGAGTGTGTTAAGCATAGTTTTTGTGGCAAACGCACGATGTCGGTTGGACGTCGTCCCAGACGACGAGCTCGGGACGTGCAAGGTTTACAACCAGCTCCGTCAATATGACAAAGCCGAATCCTGGTTTCACCAAGCCGTGAACCTCAAAGGAGGAACACCTGAGCGTGAAGATATTTGGAATTTGGCCATTTGCAAGAAGAACATGGGCCAATATGAGGAGGCCGGGTGATTTGGGGTAACTCTGAAAGCAATAAAAATTGATAAAATCTCGTTTAAAAATCTTGAAGCATCACATATCATCACAACATCTATTTCAATTTTTCTTAACGACACCGGGTGCATCCTCCCCATTGATGTTGCATGTTTTGAGTATGTTCGAGCATTTTGATCGGGTTTGTGTTGCATTTACCTGCTTCGATTTGGAGGCGTTGCCCATGTTCGAAGAAGTGCTGAGAGAGTTCCAAGTCCATGAGCCTCACCATCCAGTGACTATCGCAAAAGTGCACAGCCTCTTGGTGAAGGAGTCGATGCAGGAGGCTCTAACGGGGGGTGTTGAGACAAGGAGCTTTCTAGTTGTGTTTGGTGTGTTTTCCTTAGGACAATGATAACATATGATACCTGTCCGGAGATTTGTGCAGTGTGCAGAGGGAAGTGGGAAGTTACTTAAATGAAACAATGTCAGGACTGCCCATGAGCAGGAGCAGAGGGAAGGATTGTTGGCTCCCCTCCCTTGACATGATGTTCACTTGAAAGAGGTGAAGGTTGATGAAATCGGATGCGTTTAAGTTCAGAGAGCCACTTGGTCCATTATTGATTTACTGATCCCCTACACACTGACATCAGCAGATCATTTTCCAAGGTTCCTTGGGCGGTTGTCTCCACGAGATGGGCCGTTACACTGCGGCGGCCGAGCAGTTTGACGAGGCCTATTCGTTGTATGCCAGCACAGTGGGGCGCCACTCGCCCCTCTTTGGCGGTGCGGCGGAGGGGAAGGCTAAAGCCTTGCAGAAGGCGGAGCGCTATGAGGAGGCCTTTGAGGCTACGGATGATTCGACGTTCTTTTCCGGTGGTTTTGGCATGCTTTAGAGGCTTTTGGGCATGGGAGAAGCGGGCAGAATGAAGGTAAGATCGAGGGGTGTTGTTCTGGCCCAATCAGATGTATCGACGATCAATGTCTTGCTCTTAAAGGTGACCCCTGAGGGTGTCTAAACAACCGTATACAATGAACCAGAATCTTCAATGTCTCACATGGCTTGCACGGCTTCATCAGTCGCTTCGACCAGGCGCTTTTGGAGGCCTTTGAGGTTCATTCGCGTTGTGACTCTGTGCATCCTACGCCGCTCTTCGATGCTTGGATCTGAAGTTGGTTGTGATGACCACATTATGACCCCCCAAAAAAAATAATATGGAGAAGTTGGTACTCTTGAGACAGGATTTGGTATGATAAGTACTGGAAGAATTTGGGCCTAGTAGTAAAGAGGGCCACCTCTGGGTGAAGAAGTGCTTCCTGTACGACCCAGTGAGGGATGTCTCCAGCCTGTGGTTGCTCCTTATTTGCGCGCTTCGGAGTCCTCGCGGGACTGGACGTCCGACGTCCGTCCGGGCGGTCCGGACGGCCCCGAGACCCCAAGAGGCGAAAAGACCGGGAAGTATCTAAGAAGTCGCCAGGGGGCTGCTTGTTTCGTGCCAGCAAGGGGTGAATCTATAGGAATCTATGCTCCGAGCAGATGATGTAGGTCATCAGGGTGGATGCCCATTTTCATTGACATGCGAGGAATGCCTGGAAATGGCCTTGACCCTCCATGAGCAGCGCCCAAGCTTGGAGCTGCTGCGCTTTCAGCCTGCGATCGAGGATGGCATGGCCAACTTGGAGCAAAGAGGGCAACATCAGGAGAGGCCGCCACCCCTCGCAGATCATATTACCAAGTCACTCAACTGATCCAGGTTTTGATGTATAGTCTAGTTATATATACAAGTTTCCAAGTTTTGATGTGTAGTCTATATTACAGTTCTAGTTAATTATAGAATTTACAGTATATTCAGTATACACAGTATAATGCATGCATATTATAATGCATTGTACGAGGCAACAGCTGGATCCAGAGACAAAAGGTAAACCAAGAAGCCATTGCATTCACTGGAATATCCCAGGTTTCAGTATGGATCCATCAATTACACGTCAGAAGTTAATTTGAAGAGACACACGCAGAGCACCTGCATTGAGACCACTACTACCTATCATTGAACAACACGTTATCCAAGTTATAAAGATCGGGAGACAAATGTCCCCCCTGACATGCCAGAGCAAATTGTCAAGAACCGAAGTCCCATGCCAAGGGTTCAGTGAGGTGTGCGGTGTGCGATGAACATACAGTACTGCATATTTCAACCTTGAAGCTGAAATTGTAGATGAGTTTTGCGGAAAGAGATAAAACGCCGATTCGATGCAATCGGCCTCCGACTCTCCCACAGTCGCCAGGACGGCAATGCAGGACTGGTGATGAGCCGTGCAGGGAAGCTGCTGTCCAAGACCTCTGCTCGAGGGGCAGCCGAGCGTTTGCTGCGTGAGGGGCGAGCCTTGATTCAGCCACTTCCGATATATTAAGAACCACAGGTGTTGGTGTAAAACTAGGGGCCGTTTAGCTCCCAGACCTGCATGTTTTCAGCATGCACGTGAGCTACCCCTGCATCTCCTGTGTACCGCACACCTTTTCAAGGCAAGCGCACGATGCGAAGGAGGCGAACTTGGCGCATGAAATTCTAGAGGTGCCGAGCTTCCTTGGGCGACCAATCGTGGCGGGATGTGGCGGGAGATGGAATGCGTCGAGCTTCCCAGATGCTGCTGTACATAGTAGAACCTGCATGGTAGTTTGAATGAAACATAATGAAACCATAAGTATAAAAGGCAATATGAACCCTACATCGAGCATGTGGGTGTTGTGTCCCCAAAATATCGATTGATGGTCCAATGGAAACGATGGGTTTTTCATTGTTGTGTTTCATGGCAGCTTCGGGTGGTTTTCGGGTCAGCTTCCGCAAGGTGAGACGACTCGACACATCCTCATGGAACCAACGCAAGGTGAGCCGCAGATCGTTGATCCAGGACCAAAAGCGAAAGGTGGAACGGCATTCAATTGGTTCACTTGGGATTTAGGTCAGAGTAGAGTTGTCACACTTAGTGTCACCAGAGAGGTTGTAGCCATACCCTTCCCCTTCTCGTATCATTCTTAGACCCGGAAGAAAACAGCATAGGCATAGACCCACACCCAGTGCTTTTAGGATTCAAGGACCGACGGAGTAGATGCTATCGGATTATGTTCGGAGCTGCTGGACACGGAGGTTAACATTAGTTAACATTTACAAAGGGAGACGTCTTGGGACAAGTCGTCCAACGCCATTCTGGCAACATCTAGCTACGGCATCAAGTTCTGCTGTTAGACTTTAAAGCTTTAGGTCCCTGTCAGTACCCCTGCGGGTTCCCAAGCCTTCCAATCCAAGGAAGACCACTTGTTTTGTTTTGACAAGCCTTAGATCCTGACCTTCATCGTTCATGTTCTCTGGGGTCAACTCACCCAACCCAACCTAACCATTTAACTCGAAAAGGCCCCAACCTATACAGCAGCCCAGTAGAGTTTTGCTTGGAAGCCCTCTGCCGTCTCTCCGCATATCTCTTCAGGTGGATTTGCTGCTGCACGGACTGCAGGAGCCGCTGAAGAGTGACCTTGGCCCCAAGACCTCCGCCAACATCTCTGCGTCGGCGTGACGATGGAGATCTTGCGAAGACGGTGGCGCGCGGAGGAGCAAAAGGTGCGACCATCACCGGCTTTGGCCCAGAGACGTTTGAGCCTTTGGAAGGGAAAGGATCTGCTGAAAAGAGACCAAAGAATGCTGACCTTTGTCGCAGCCTGGATAATTCTGGAAGCAATTTGCAAAGCATTGTATGCATTTGTCAATGTGAGCAAACAGGATTCCCTGTTGGTTGCCTGCCTAGGGGGGAAACGAAGCACCGTAGAAATGGCCTGCGTTCTTTGCTCCCGGAAACCAAGCATCTGGCTTTTGGCAAGGACGTGAAATAAGGAGGACCGTATGGACTTATGGCTGTTCACACGTGTTCACAGCAAATGATCATTTGTTGGTCGAGCTGGTTCTATCAGATCCATAGGCACCTGCTGACACTCAAGACTTGAAGAAGTGGCCAATCATCACCACTTGTGGACAGAACCTTCCCTAGGGATCCAAGTCAAGTACCTTCTCAGAAGGTGATTGGAGACACTGTTATGTAGGTTTGGAGGGTCCAAGTACCTTCTGAGAAGGTACTTGGATCCCTAGGGCTTCATTGGTGTGGGTCTTTGTCACGTTTGAAAGACACCACATGTGCCTTTTTTGATCCTTTTGGGGTCAGCACTAAACCATGTCTTGAAGGGATGAACCTCCGCTCACCAGCACTGCCGCACCACCTTCGCTATAGACATTCTTGCCCTCAGGAGGTGGAGCCAGAGCGTGAAAAGCCAGAGGCGCCAGATGCGCCGGCGGGGGGGGCAATCAGATGGAATAAGGGTTCGCTCGGCGACGCCCAAGAAAGGTGAACCCGTGATGGTAGCCGTTCACCCAGAGCCAGGAACCAACTGGGCTGGCTGTAGAGATTTGTGGGCTTAAGGCCAACCCCACATGTTTCAACCCTGTCAGAGGGTTCTGAAGGGTTCTGAAGGGTTCAGGAGAAGTTGGCCCCAATTGTGCAGGATCCTTGGCAGTGGTGAAATACATGCCATGGTATAGGAACGGGGTGGTGACCTTGAAATGGTGAGGTGACCGCGTTCCTTACCTTAACATCACGAGGTCCAGACAAATCCTCCGAGAGGAAAAGGACACGTGACCATGATTGAATACGGAAACGTCAATGGGTCCGCAAACAGGATAAAGATTTAGATTGAGCTGCCAGAGAGAGGCCTCCTCTTTTCAGATTCCCATAGTGACATAGTGTTTCATACCTAGATCTTCGTATGAGGCACTTTTCCAAAAAAGTTGCCTTTTACCGTACGGCGGCGTAAATTGTAAAGCTGCGGCGTTTCTTGATTTTGCGGCGGCGTTTAATTTTTCGTAATTGGCTCGAAGCTGTATAGTTGGGTGATTTGTGCCCTTCGTTAGGTATAGTTGGGTATAGTCGCGTCAAACCCCGAAGGTTGATGAACGCACCCCAAATGTGTGAACTTCTTGTCAACATACCGACCGGTAACCTTTGGGAAGATGCGGAATTGGCGCAGTGCTTGAACTATGTTTTAGCTTCGAAACGGCTAGTCGTTCCGGAAGAGTACCAAGCTCCCTGAAAGAGATTGATAAGCACTCAACACAAAAATTGAAATTATGTTCTTGAGTTTCATACGTGTTGCGAGAAATTTGCGAAATTTGCCGGAAAAAATGGCGGCGTAAATCCGCGTATTGGCGGCGTAAATCCACGTAATGGCGGCGTAAATCCGCGTAATGGCCTCGTAAATTCCCGTCATCATGTTGGCAGCATTTGTCACCCATGGACCACTGAGATTGCTTGGCTTATCAGGGTGTAGCATACACATGAGCACAAAGACTCTTGTTAGGAGGTGGTCAATTGTCAGAGCTTGCACAATGACCTTGGAGAATGACCCTGAGTACCAGAAGTTGGGTATAGTTGGTAAATTTGGCAATGGGAATCGTAGAGCGGTCAGGGATTTGGGGTTGCGATGACGTTATCGTGGAGGTGAGTGTGAGGGTTTGGTCTCTACCTCGTGTTACTTGGGGGAGCTAACTGAGTATCCTTGAGCCTGGCGTGGAGGAGACATGCACCATCCTTCCCCATATATGGAATGTGGCGTTTTGTTTTTCTGGTGGCGTTTTTTTTGGACGACGGCAATTTTCCACTCTGGTGGCAAATTTTTTGGCCACCATGGAAAGCGGCACTTTTTTCGTCCACCAGGTGGATCTAGGTATATGTTTCATCAATTTCATTTGTACCACTGAACAGACGCCTTGGCAGACTTGTGAACCGCGTCGTCGTTTCTTGTACCTGATAAGTACCACTCCGCCCTGCTTTATATACAACTGACGTTTTATAGATTGAAACCTTGTTTCCATTCCAGACGAAGATTACAATCTCACGATCTCCATAGTGAATATTTCCGACTTGGTGCCGCCATTTTGGAATAATCAATTGTTTCGCGCTGGTTCACGTTTTTCCTTGTTGTGGTCGGCTGAGATCCCACTTCAATGATTCAGGTTCGGCTGTTCAAAAAGACCTATTTGGGGTCCCAAAGCACCTTTCTCACAGTGCGGCCAAATGTATATGATCACCTCACTCTTTTCAAACACCTAGTTCTTGACGACTTTTGGTTTGCTTATTTTCCCTCTTCGCCCTCATTTGTTTTGCAGGTCGAGGAAGGAGTTGAGGCAACGGCAGTGGCAACCCCGCCAACGCTTCCCATGCAGGCACTGTAGGAGGGAGGCACTGCACCCTTCAGCACTGATGAACTGTGAGAAGGAGCCCCATTGGGCCCCAAGGGCAAATCTGGGTTCAACGCATTGGCATGTTTCAGTTGTTTTCTCGGGTGGAGTTGTGGATGATGGATGATGATGGGACTTCCATCAGAGCAGGGGATCCTATAAATGCGAGTCAGAAAAACCATGCTTGGACAGAAGACGCCCGTCCTTTATAGTTATTTAAAATATTTAACTATAACTGGCGCCCCGATAACCATAAACAGAGGTGTCCTTTCTGATACGACTGAGCCGATTGCCCCTAACTTACCCATGTGCATCGCCGCATCGAAGTGATTGATTTCGTGGTTTTTCAGTACCGCGGACCGTCGAGTGCCATTTTGAGGGAGACTCAGTTTGTGTCCAACAGGACTATATATTTATCCTCTCATCCTGACCACCACTGTAGGGAAGTCGCCAACAGAAGTCTGGGGC